CTGTACTGGCAGGTTCACTCACGTCACACTGTACTGGCAGTTTCACCCACGTTACACTGTACTGGCAGGTTCACTCACGTCACACTGTACTGGCAGTTTCACTCACGTTACACTGTACTGGCAGTTTCACTCACGTTACACTGTACTGGCAGTTTCACTCACGTCACACTGTACTGGCAGGTTCACTCACGTCACACTGTACTGGCAGGTTCACTCACGCCACACTGTACTGGCAGTTTCACTCACGTGACACTGTACTGGCAGGTTCACTCACGTCACACTGTACTGGCAGTTTCACTCACGTCACACTGTACTGGCAGGTTCACCCACGTCACACTGTACTGGCAGGTTCACTCACGTCACACTGTACTGGCAGTTTCACTCACGTCACACTGTACAGGCAGGTTCACCCACGTCACACTGTACTGGCAGTTTCACCCACGTCACACTGTACTGGCAGGTTCACTCACGTCACACTGTACTGGCAGGTTCACTCACGTCACACTGTACTGGCAGGTTCACCCACGTCACACTGTACTGGCAGTTTCACCCACGTCACACTGTACTGGCAGGTTCACCCACGTCACACTGTACTGGCAGGTTCACTTACGTTACACTGTACTGGCAGGTTCACTCACGTTACACTGTACTGGCAGTTTCACTCACGTCACACTGTACTGGCAGGTTCACTTACGTCACACTGTACTGGCAGGTTCACCCACGTTACACTGTACTGGCAGGTTCTCTCACGTTACACTGTACTGGCAGTTTCACTCACGTCACACTGTACTGGCAGGTTCACTTACGTCACACTGTACTGGCAGGTTCACTCACGTCACACTGTACTGGCAGGTTCACCCACGTTACACTGTACTGGCAGGTTCACCCACGTTATACTGTACTGGCAGGTTCACCCACGTTACACTGTACTGGCAGGTTCACTCACGTCACACTGTACTGGCAGGTTCACCCACGTTACACTGTACTGGCAGGTTCACTCACGTCACACTGTACTGGCAGTTTCACCCACGTTACACTGTACTGGCAGGTTCACCCACGTCACACTGTACTGGCAGTTTCACTCAAGTCACACTGTACAGGCAGGTTCACTCACGTTACACTGTACTGGCAGTTTCACTCGCGTCACACTGTACAGGCAGGTTCCCATGTTACACTGTACTGGCAGTTTCACTCACGTCACACTGTACTGGAAGTTTCACTCACGTCACACTGTACTGGCAGTTTCACTCACGTCACACTGTACTGGCAGTTTCACTCACGTCACACGTACTGGCAGTTTCACCCACGTCACACTGTACTGGCAGGTTCACTCACGTCACACTGTACTGGCAGGTTCACTCACGTCACACTGTACTGGCAGTTTCACTCACGTCACACTACTGGCAGGTTCACTCACGTCACACTACTGGCAGGTTCACTCACGTCACACTGTACTGGCAGGTTCACTCACGTCACACTGTACTGGCAGGTTCACTCACGTCACACTGTACTGGCAGGTTCACTCACGTTACACTGTACTGGCAGGTTCACTCACGTCACACTGTACAGGCAGGTTCCCACGTCACACTGTACTGGCAGTTTCACCCACGTCACACTGTACTGGCAGGTTCACCCACGTCACACTGTACTGGCAGGTTCACTTACGTTACACTGTACTGGCAGGTTCACTCACGTTACACTGTACTGGCAGTTTCACTCACGTCACACTGTACTGGCAGGTTCACTTACGTCACACTGTACTGGCAGGTTCACTTACGTTACACTGTACTGGCAGGTTCTCTCACGTTACACTGTACTGGCAGTTTCACTCACGTCACACTGTACTGGCAGGTTCACTTACGTCACACTGTACTGGCAGGTTCACTCACGTCACACTGTACTGGCAGGTTCACCCACGTTACACTGTACTGGCAGGTTCACCCACGTTATACTGTACTGGCAGGTTCACCCACGTTACACTGTACTGGCAGGTTCACTCACGTCACACTGTACTGGCAGGTTCACCCACGTTACACTGTACTGGCAGGTTCACTCACGTCACACTGTACTGGCAGTTTCACCCACGTTACACTGTACTGGCAGGTTCACCCACGTCACACTGTACTGGCAGTTTCACTCACGTCACACTGTACAGGCAGGTTCACTCACGTTACACTGTACTGGCAGTTTCACTCGCGTCACACTGTACAGGCAGGTTCCCATGTTACACTGTACTGGCAGTTTCACTCACGTCACACTGTACTGGAAGTTTCACTCACGTCACACTGTACTGGCAGTTTCACTCACGTCACACTGTACTGGCAGTTTCACTCACGTCACACGTACTGGCAGTTTCACCCACGTCACACTGTACTGGCAGGTTCACTCACGTCACACTGTACTGGCAGGTTCACTCACGTCACACTGTACTGGCAGTTTCACTCACGTCACACTGTACTGGCAGGTTCACTCACGTCACACTACTGGCAGGTTCACTCACGTCACACTGTACTGGCAGGTTCACTCACGTCACACTGTACTGGCAGGTTCACTCACGTTACACTGTACTGGCAGGTTCACTCACGTCACACTGTACAGGCAGGTTCCCACGTCACACTGTACTGGCAGTTTCACCCACGTCACACTACTGGCAGGTTCACCCACGTCACACTGTACTGGCAGGTTCACTCACGTTACACTGTACTGGCAGTTTCACTCACGTCACACTGTACTGGCAGGTTCACCCACGTTACACTGTACTGGCAGGTTCACTCACGTCACACTGTACTGGCAGGTTCACTCACGTCACACTGTACTGGCAGTTTCACTCACGTCACACTGTACTGGCAGGTTCACTCACGTCACACTACTGGCAGGTTCACTCACGTCACACTGTACTGGCAGGTTCACTCACGTCACACTGTACTGGCAGGTTCACTCACGTCACACTGTACTGGCAGGTTCACTCACGTTACACTGTACTGGCAGGTTCACTCACGTCACACTGTACAGGCAGGTTCCCACGTCACACTGTACTGGCAGTTTCACCCACGTCACACTGTACTGGCAGGTTCACCCACGTCACACTGTACTGGCAGGTTCACTTACGTTACACTGTACTGGCAGGTTCACTCACGTTACACTGTACTGGCAGTTTCACTCACGTCACACTGTACTGGCAGGTTCACTTACGTCACACTGTACTGGCAGGTTCACTTACGTTACACTGTACTGGCAGGTTCTCTCACGTTACACTGTACTGGCAGTTTCACTCACGTCACACTGTACTGGCAGGTTCACTTACGTCACACTGTACTGGCAGGTTCACTCACGTCACACTGTACTGGCAGGTTCACCCACGTTACACTGTACTGGCAGGTTCACCCACGTTATACTGTACTGGCAGGTTCACCCACGTTACACTGTACTGGCAGGTTCACTCACGTCACACTGTACTGGCAGGTTCACCCACGTTACACTGTACTGGCAGGTTCACTCACGTCACACTGTACTGGCAGTTTCACCCACGTTACACTGTACTGGCAGGTTCACCCACGTCACACTGTACTGGCAGTTTCACTCACGTCACACTGTACAGGCAGGTTCACTCACGTTACACTGTACTGGCAGTTTCACTCGCGTCACACTGTACAGGCAGGTTCCCATGTTACACTGTACTGGCAGTTTCACTCACGTCACACTGTACTGGAAGTTTCACTCACGTCACACTGTACTGGCAGTTTCACTCACGTCACACTGTACTGGCAGTTTCACTCACGTCACACGTACTGGCAGTTTCACCCACGTCACACTGTACTGGCAGGTTCACTCACGTCACACTGTACTGGCAGGTTCACTCACGTCACACTGTACTGGCAGTTTCACTCACGTCACACTGTACTGGCAGGTTCACTCACGTCACACTACTGGCAGGTTCACTCACGTCACACTGTACTGGCAGGTTCACTCACGTCACACTGTACTGGCAGGTTCACTCACGTTACACTGTACTGGCAGGTTCACTCACGTCACACTGTACAGGCAGGTTCCCACGCCACACTGTACTGGCAGTTTCACCCACGTCACACTGTACTGGCAGGTTCACCCACGTCACACTGTACTGGCAGGTTCACTCACGTTACACTGTACTGGCAGTTTCACTCACGTCACACTGTACTGGCAGGTTCACCCACGTTACACTGTACTGGCAGGTTCTCTCACGTTACACTGTACTGGCAGTTTGACTCACGTCACACTGTACTGGCAGGTTCACTCACGTCACACTGTACTGGCAGGTTCACTCACGTCACACTGTACTGGCAGGTTCACCCACGTTACACTGTACTGGCAGGTTCACCCACGTTACACTGTACTGGCAGGTTCACCCACGTTACACTGTACTGGCAGGTTCACTCACGTCACACTGTACTGGCAGGTTCACCCACGTTACACTGTACTGGCAGGTTCACTCACGTCACACTGTACTGGCAGGTTCACTCACGTCACACTGTACTGGCAGGTTCACCCACGTTACACTGTACTGGCAGGTTCACCCACGTCACACTGTACTGGCAGTTTCACTCACGTCACACTGTACTGGCAGGTTCACTCACGTCACACTGTACTGGCAGGTTCACTCACGTCACACTGTACTGGCAGTTTCACTCACGTCACACTGTACTGGCAGTTTCACTCACGTCACACTGTACTGGCAGTTTCACTCACGTCACACTGTACTGGCAGTTTCACTCACGTCACACTGTACTGGCAGGTTCACTCACGTCACACTGTACTGGCAGGTTCACTCACGTCACACTGTACTGGCAGGTTCACTCACGTCACACTGTACTGGCAAGTTCACCCACGTTACACTGTACTGGCAGGTTCACCCACGTTACACTGTACTGGCAGGTTCACTCACGTTACTCGGCGGTGTGAATGTTGGCGTAAGCTGTGGAAGACGCCTGCATGTTGCGGCGCACGCTGCTGCTGCATTGCAGGCCAGTACTGCACGGAGGACGTGGACGAGTGCCAGCTTCAGCCCAACGCGTGCCTTAACGGGGGCACGTGCCACAACACGCACGGCGGATACAACTGCGTGTGCGTCAACGGCTGGACCGGCGAGGACTGCAGCGAGAACATCGATGACTGCGCCATCGCTGCCTGCTTCAACGGCGCCACGTGCCACGACCGCGTCGCCTCCTTCTTCTGCCAGTGCCCACTCGGCAAGACCGGTGAGGGCGAACGCTGGCAATCGGGTTTCCCCCTCGAAATCGACATTTGGTGTTTTGTCAGAAAGGTCGGGCTCGCTTGAACCACCGCTGGTGAACTGCCGGATATATTTATAGGCAAGGGGACGCTTTCCATGAGATGTGGTTCCTGTTAAACTGTACAACACACGATGCAGGATAATCAGCATATTTGTGGGGAATATGAGTAACAGTGAATGGCGGTTTTCTTGAGCGATGGCACTGTGGGCGGTGCCGTGAGAGAGTTGGTATCACTATGGACGTCGCCGGTTGTGACGCGGTCGGCCATGGTGACGTCTTTTTACCGCACCCGTGTGTGCGCAGGTTTGCTGTGCCACTTGGACGACGCGTGTGTGAGCGACCCGTGCCACGAGGGGGCCATCTGCGACACGAACCCCATCAACGGCAAGGCCATCTGCACCTGTCGTGCCGGATTCACCGGCGGCGCCTGCAACCAGGACGTGGACGAATGCTCCATCGGTGAGGCGCGCCCCCCCTTAGCGCGCACGGCACAGTGAGCCGCCCTTTCGACAACGTCAGTGGCGAGCAATGTCTGTAGAGTGCTCCCCTTGGCTTTCGCCGTCGTTTGATCCTGCGCGGCCATTGCTCTGTTTCAGGAGCAAACCCCTGCGAGCACGGAGGGCGCTGCATCAACACCCAGGGCTCTTTCCGCTGCCAGTGCACGGCAGGTTTCACGGGCCCGCGCTGTGAAACGGACATCAACGAGTGTAACTCAATGCCCTGTCTCAACGACGCTACCTGCCTCGACAAGATCGGAGAATTCACCTGCATCTGCATGCCAGGTATGCTGGGAGATATTTTGCCGGCTTCCGCGTAAGAACCTCAATCTGTAAGTGGCGACAAAAGCAAAGGCACGAGCATGCACCGGTACAGTTCAGTCATCAATGTCTGCCGCTGCCGTGCTCCTCTGCTGTGTACGACGGTGAGAGTTTTTCGCCGACACAGTGCGTGTGTGCCACCTTATTGTGCATAGTAGGGGGCACAGGTGGTGCATCGGCCAGTCATCTCAGTCAGTCAACCCATGGCACCTGTGTCTTTCTGGGGCCTTCTGCCAGCGGGCGTTCAACTCTTCAACTGGTCTTAAAGTGCACATAGCCTGGCATAAGCACCTTGGTGATGTCACCGCTACTTAGTGGCAAATGACGGTTATTGTTGGTGTGCAATTCCACTTTTGGGGTTCACCCGTCGCTCGCCTGGTGAACCAGAGCGGAGCGAGTTAATGTAGTTTGTCTTAACAGGTGAGCATTCAGGACACCAGGATGGTCTCATTTACACGAGTGACCTGGGAGCGGGCTTGGACCGCGTATGAGAGGTAGTCGCTTGTGGTATCAGCTTCTTGAGTTGTTTTATGACGCTCTTAATTAACAAGCGAGCAATCCCAGTGTCCGTATGGCTCCTGTTGACATGCGATTAACGCGGGCGCGGGGCCGCGGTGTCGCTCGCAGGTTTCGAAGGACGGCACTGCGAGATTGACATCAACGAGTGCCAGAGCGGACCTTGCCTCAATGACGGAAACTGCACGGACCATGTGAATGGCTTCTTATGCCGCTGCCCACCCGGTGAGTCGCATGCTAACGCAACGTCGCCTTATGGACCAATGTTGTAAGGTTTTATTTTAACGCACTGCCCATTGCAAATCGGTGCGATTCATCATTCACTCGGGTTCCCATTCACGCATTGGTGGAAACTTTTTTTTTCACTTAATTTTTATGGAAAACGAGACACCGAGGCGGGGGTGGTGCATGTTTGGCTGCTATGCATAGTGCTGCCAGAGAAGCCTGTTGTTGGTTTTGTACATTAAGAGCAAACTGGTATTTATGCTAAATTCTAACACTTAGAATGACCGCTTGGGTTCGGCAGGGCATGTGGTGCATGTGGCGGCACCGACCAGCCTCTTGCGCGCAAACGCTGCATTGTGCTCGGCGGAGCCACAGCCGGGCTTTGCGGAATGCCTTCTCAGCCCCGACCGCGAGCCGATCTCCTTGGAGCTCCCACTCATGTTGTTTGCTCAGCTCTTGTCGTGCGGTGTCTTTGTCTCACTGTCGCCCATTGTTGGGACGGGCACACCTTTTCAAAGCCGCAATTCGGTGGCCCGAGCGACAATGTGGCCGCACATTGGGTTTTTGTGAGCTGGATGGTCTGGACAAGGCTGAGAGCGTTTGTACATGCGATGCTGCATGCCCCTGTGCGTTTTTTAATCAACCGGAGTCGCCTTCACCTGTCCTTGTTTACACTCTTTACTTTGTGAATGCCACCTGTGCCCGTGACGATGGGTTCCCGACACTCCTTCAGGTCATTTTAAAGTTCTAACTACGTAGTTTAAATGTGGAAAGTGGGACCCTGTGAGCGAGTGGGGGCCCTGCGAGCGGGGGGGCCCTGCGAGCCAGTGGGGCCCCACTCGAGGAGGCCCGGTGTGCTTTTCCAGGGGCCGTTCCCGCTCAGGAGTGGTGGCCGCTGCATAAAGACCGTCTGGCCACTGCGAGCGTGGTGGCGGCGGCGGCGGTGCTGGCTTTGTGTACGGAGCACAGAGGAGGCCATTGTGAGGCTCGCACTGGGATCGAGTTCTGCGCGCCTCTCACGGCGCTGCCCCCGTGCTGCACAATGCTCATGAGCCTCTGCTTTCAAGTGCAAATGTTTAGCAACTCCCTCTCCCGCCGATGCTTGCCGCTAAAAACCGCCGAGCTGTACATGCAGATTAGTCGAGAAGGAGGGTTCATTGGTTTGGTGCGGCTGCTGGCCGGGCCCTGTGTGCATGCGTTTGTCGAACGCTCCACGGCGAAGGGAACATAAACGCCGCGGATCACTCCGATTTGTTTTTTAAAGTGTGTCATTTGTTGTTCGCATTTTTTTGGCTTCGATTTTAACCCGGAGACATTTTCGCCTTCACCAGATTGAATTAGTGTGGCTTTGGCTGTTGCGTAAGCTCTTTGTAGATGTTGGAGTAATTTCGTTTATGGGCTGGAAGGTAGTTTGAACCAGTTTGACGGCAGGATTATTCTGGCTTGTTCTGTTTAAGATTGTACCGGCAGTAATTGAATATCTTGTGTGTGTTGTAGTGATGCATTAGCGCAGCTCGTCTCAGCTGGTTGCCCCATTGCCTTTCCGGGGGCTTTAATCCGTGGTCGGCATCGGCTGTGGCTTCACCATCGTCTTGGCTGCCAAGCAAAATGGGAACAAAATATGACACCGCAGTGGAGGGATTTAATAAGCAGTGACTTGTGCAGTTTCATTATCATCAGCATACGTCGGGAGACACACACCAATTCGAAACTGATGTGCAGTGATGTTTATTTTTCTCAACGTTGTCCTCGCAGTTTCACTTCTGCACCTCAGTTTTCTCCACTCTCGTTTCTCGGTCCATCTGGAGTTCCATTTGAGAGTGACATTGGTTCCACATTGGGACCACGTTAGTAACAAGTTGGTATCACGTTTGGAACCACATTGGTACCATGTTGGAATCACACTGGGACCACATTAATACTAAGTTATTACCACGTTTGTACCATGTTGGTACCACGCTGGTATCTTCCTGATGTCGCATTGGTTTCAGAATGAGTGACGAAGGGGGCTGTGCCGGCGCTTGAGCTTGTCGGGGGTGGGGGGGGTGCGGGATGCCAAGTGGACCTTGTCTTTCCTGGCATGACGTGCCTGGTTGGTGTCGTGCTCACACTGGCTCAGTGCTTCAGGCTTTTGCGCTTTAACTCGTGAGAGCGGCGTGTCGGCACCCAGCATTTAGCAGTAAACAACCCTCCTGGCCAATCTGCTCTTCCCTGCCAATTGTGAGAGTGAAGATTGGCCGGTTTAACTCTCATTGGCCAAACATCCCCGGTGCTTAAATATTTCCTGCAAATCCCTCAATTGGGATCACACACGGCAGCAGCAACATCGCCCCCCATTGCAAAAAAGCTTGACAAGACCCTCCTGAAAAAGAATCCTGAGGCTTTCCCCGGGCAAATAAGCGAAACGGTAATAAATATATAATTACACGATTTACGCTAAGATCCGGACTCTCTTTGTTGACCAAGGGGAGCCCGGTGGCCTCGTCTGCGACCGACATGCCCATAGTAGTACCACCTGCAAGTGCTGGCTGGGGGTCCATGACAGGGCTGTCTCTTGCTCTCGTGGGTGATGCCAGCGTCTGCTCGCCCTACGGTGCAGCACAGCCTCGTGTGTGTGTGTGGAGACATGAATGTAAATATCCCCCTGATATGCAATTCACTGTGAGTCACGGTAGAAAATACAAGTAACAAAATTAACACGCTCCCCTCCCATGTCTGTCCCTTCACACATAAAATACTAAATTATGTTTTTACACATTTCATCAGCCACGCGGCCAGCCTACTGGGAATGCGTCATTCCATCAGAATTGGTTCAACATGAGCAAACTCTGGACCTGATCTGCTGATGAGACACTGCATATCAAATCCTGTTCGGAGGGCTGTCTTGCCGATGGGATGCGTACAACACAACTCTTGCTGTCTTGTACCGCTCGTCCTGGCGCCGTGTCTGACACTGACCCCCCGCGCGTTTCTCCCCCGCCAGGCTTCACGGGGCCCATGTGTCAGATCGACATGGACGAGTGCGCCAGCACGCCGTGTCTCAACGGGGCCAAGTGCGTGGACCAGCCCAATGCCTACTTGTGCGAGTGCACAGAAGGTATTGTGAAATGGCACCCTCCGCACTACCGGGCCCCACAGGCCCCAGCGTAGCGGTGAGAACCTCTGTGGAAAAATAACTTCACAGCTCAGCGGACTCATCCACTCTAAATACAGATGCTGATTCTGAAATATTCCGATTATGAGAACCGATATAACTATTAAAAAATATGTTTTTATTTTACCAGATAAGGCCCACGGAGTGATATTATAGCTCTTTTTCAGAAGCGACCTGGCCACAAATGATAGCCGACCAAAGTGGCTTATGTGTACATTTATAGCAGCCAAATACTCTAAATGTATATTATAATGTGGAGGAGAAAACCGGAGGACCCGGAGAAAAATCCACGTGACCACGGGGAGAAAGACGCACAAACTCCAAATATGCAGGAGGCGTCAGGGGTCAGGATTGAACCCATGGCCTCCTGCATACCAGGCCAGGTAGTTAACATCTCACCACCGCGGTGCCCTACGCCCCTTCTCTGCTTTTGGAGCGAAGTTCACAGGAACAGTTTGCCGTGGCAGCGGCGATAGAAGCACAATTTAAAGTCCGATCTTTAAAAAGTTTGGTAATGGTGTAAAACGTGTGGTGACTTGTTTAGCGATGATCAAGGTTGTGCCTGGCGCGTGACGTCGCAGCGCTCGTGCGGCTTCGAGTTGCGAGTGTGAGCCGACATTTCACAACGGCGACTCCCGATTGGCCCCGGGGAGGACGCTCGCTCGTGAAATCCTCTCCGGAGAAGAAATAACAGAACTCCTTTATTATAGCCTCGGAGGGCTCTCACCTTTCACCCGGCCTTTGTTGGCACCAGGTCAACCGGCTCCTGGGAAGAATTGCCGAGAATTATAATGAGCGGCGGGGCCCCGGGGGCTGAGAAGGGGGCAGCAGCGTGATAGAAATTCTAATGAGTTGGGGGGGGGGGTTGGGCGACCCGCGTGAATAGAAATTATAATGAGCGCCCGCCTGGAAGCCGCTGCACAGAAGCGGCTCGTTCTCACGGAAATGGCGGGAAAGTTGCAGCTGGAGGCATGGCGTGCCGAGGCTGCCCCGCCGGCCGTCCAGGTTGCGGTGTTGGCCTTCCGGGCCCGTGCAGGCAGGCGAGCGAATCTCGCTGCCTGCCCGCGTCGGCGAGCGTCTGCAAGTGTTAGAGGGCGGAGCCCCCTAGCCTGAGCCGATGGTCGCGTTTACTGCAGGTTTCAGTGTTAAGTCGCGTTCAGTGAATGCTTGCGCCCGCGTGGTATTGAAATAAAGTTATCTCTGAGTTACGATAGAGGGGAGGCTGCTTCCACAGTTTGACTGTTCGCACGCTGAAAATTCAGAGGTCACCGGTTCTATCTCCGGGCGTGGCAGTTAAAACAATGGGGCGAGTTCCTTAAATCACTTTCCCCTGTGACCGCCGCCTCTGTCCGCCCAGCAGTGTAACTGGGTCCATCGCAGTCAAATCTGTAGGTAGCATTGAAGAGTAGGCCAAATACCCCTCGTCGAGGAGATCTCTAGAGCCCTCCCCCTGAACAGTGGCATGAGCGAGCGATTGCAGGGCTGCGCCTGTACTTTGTGTTGGTATTCTTACTTCGGAGATTTCGAAACACACCCAGACGTCTCAACTCCTGTTGAAGGAGTCCCGACCGCCTCCCCACCTCTCACCTCCCCCCTTCCCCTCCCCACTCTTATTCCCCACTCAACCCACCCCTCCCCCGTTTAAGCCTGTCTCTTCTACTGTACAGCTTCTGGTAACACTACTTTAGGCCAGCACGCTTCAAATCCACATCGTCTCTTGCAGTTCCTGCCCATTCGTTTTGGCCTCTGTGGAGCAGCTTATTTGGACGTTGCTTACAAAGTGATGCAGCCGTTTCAATGCCTCTGTCTGAGAGGTGGTGCATCACAGATGCCCCCCACCAACGCACACACCTGGGGCCGCCATGATGCCACGCTCTCGAGTTGGCGCGCGCCAACTCGGCTCCGCGCGTCGCCTGGCCGCGTGGGTCTGCCCGTCAGAGCATTAGAGTCCACTGTGCCGTGCCACGTGCCACTTGCGGCCTTGCCATGAAGGCATTGGGATCCCACCGGGAGGACGCCGCCATTGACGCTGCGAGGGGCGGCTGCGTGGATGCCGCCGCCAGCTCGAGCCCCCGGGTCCCTGCAGCACTCGATGGCAGCAAGCCGGCAGAGTCCGCACGCCCGTCACTTTCTCTCCTCATCTGTCGCTCCTCACCGTGTCGCTGCTCGCCTGTCGCTCGCTTACCTGTAGCTCCTCACCTATCCCTCCTCACCTGTCGGTTCACTCACCTGTCCCTCACCTGTCGCTCACCACAAATACCCAGACAGTGACAAGATAGAGCGGCATTTAAATATTTACTAATTCTTAACAAGCGTTTAGTTGGTTCTGGAAAGTTGTGTTGTTTTATTATCATTATTGTTATTAAGTTTCCGCAGTGTGACGAGTTGCGTTCCATGCCGTTGCTTTGCAAAACACACACATTAGAAATGGGAAACAGCAGAGGCTGCTGGAGTTTTTATTTATTTACATTCATTCAGTGAAATTATAGTTTGGGGTAGCTGAGCTGCGTTTGGGCCCCACGACGTCGCTGCGCAAGGGGGGGGGGGGGGGGCTGTCCAGGCTCACGGGAGCCTCCGTCTCTCCTCCCCTAGGCTCTGGTGGGACATCTCACTGAGTCACTTCTGCCACTGGGCCCATCCTGAGAGCTGCACTTCACGTCTTTACCAACTCCTGTGAGCCACCCCCCCAGCCGGGCGCTGAGTTTGTTATTTGGTTCTCCGGCCCCCCCATGGTGCGTTTTTCCCCCTGCTGTGAAACGTGGTGACATTCAGGGCTGTATAAAGCTATGAACCACAGCACAGGGGGGTTGCTTGAGGCTCGCGTTTACCCATTTGGGTCCGGTCGCCCAGTGAACTGGGCCCCTGCTTTATTTCGGTGCTCTCATTGAACGTGGCAACGTAATTATTGTTTGCTACCGCTTGAAGCGATTGAATTAACTTCCGTGGTGTCGCGGCAGCTGCTGTGGCCGTGCGGCATGGAGGAGCGGGCGGAGGAGCGGGCGATGGGCGGGGTGCAGCGCTCGCGAGCTCTCATCTCCACGCGTCTCGGGTTGCCGTCTCTATCGGCGCATGAATGCGTCTGTCTTTTCTATCCCTACTTGACTACGTCTCTCCCTGTCCCTTCGCTCGCATCGGAATGCGTCGTTCATATCATCTCCGCTTTCTCTCTCATCCGAACACGCCCCTCTCCCATCGTTGTGTTTCACAGCGATACGTCTCCCCATTCTCTGCCTCGTGTCTCCCCTGAATACTCCTCTCCCCTGTCACGTCTCCTTTCTCTCATATGGACGCATCTCTCCTATCATCTCTTGCGTCTCAGTTGACGGTGTCTATATTCACTTTCGCCTTCGTGTCTCTCTCTGACACGTCTCGTGTCTCACTGCCCCCTGCGTGCCTCTGTCTATCGTTTGTAATCTCACCACATCTCTCTTCCTCTCTATTTGCATCTCCTCCTCCCTTCTCGCTACTTAGCTATCCAAGGCTCTACTATGCGGATCAGTCCGGATACCTGATTAGTCGCAGTGGACCCCCCCCTCCTTCCCCCGTGTGTCCCGGTGCTGCTAATCTGTGGTGCGGATTAACCATCCGTGAAGCTCTCACTCACACGCAAGTGCAGATTTGGCGTGGTGCGCCGCCGCAAAACCCAGACGCGGAGCGTCCACACACGGATCCTGGAGTCCTCTCCCAGGACGGCACAGCCTCTGCTTTGGCTCTGGCTGTTGCCGTCCCCTGCGTGCTCTGTACTGGGTTGGGTTGGGGTGGGGATGGGGGATTCCTTAACGCAGTTGCTGAGCACAAAGGCCCAAAGCTTCAAGCGGCCAGTGACAAACAGCACTATCAAAGTTGTAATAGAATATAGAGTGAACACGTTTTTTTCAATTGAGCAACGTTGTTAAGAGCTGGGGGGAGGAGAAGTCAGGGGGTGGAACGGAGAGCAGTGTGAGCAGAAAGGGAAGAAAGCAGAGTGGTGGGTGGTTGAGTGGGTGAGTTGTGACCTACAGCGTGGTGAGTGGGTGAGTTGTTGTGACCTGCAGTGTGGTGAGTGGGTGAGTTGTTGTGACCTGCAGTGTGGTGAGTGGGTGAGTTGTTGTGACCTGCAGTGTGCTGAGTGGGAGAGTGGTTACCTGCAGTGTGGTGGTTGAACACAGTGTGGTTGAGACAAAACAGTCAGTCCTCGACATGGCAGGAGTAAACAATGAGTGAAGTTCATGGGAGCAGTAACCATCGTAGTAGTCCTAGTGATAGAAGAGTGATAAGGAGGCGACTGACCACCGGTGAGCAAGTGACTGGGGTTCCTAGACAGATGCATACAAGGGAGATGGTGAGTCGTTAGGCAAGTGAGCCTCAACACAAGGAGTGGAGCGTCAATAGTGGGATTGGAAAGGCAGCCGTTTGATCGTCTGGAATGTGGAAGGTAATTGCAGGCCTGCTTGTACAGTGCAGCGCACTGTGGTAATTATTTTGAAATGAGGGTCCCCAACCCGTCCGGGCTCAACCCGGACAGTCCAGGTATTGGAATTTGTGTTCAGGTGGCAGCAGTTGATTTGTACCGAGGTCTGGTGCCGGGTGTTGTGTTGAACTTGTATCAGAGTTTACTGCACAGTGTTGATTGACCTGGGCTAACAGCAAGGCTGTGTCATGCTGGTTTGGTCTAGAGTGGGAAAAGGTGGTGGTGGCCCTCATGGGATCTTTGTGCCGTACAGTCCAGCAGCAGGAACATGTCACCACTTGCTGGACCACCACTCGGCACTGGCGGTGTTTTGTCGGCCTATAAAAAAAATACCTCCTCGTCCTGGGTGTAAACTCAGCCATGGGGTGTTCTCTCTGCCCTCATTGCTGATTATCCTTTTACGCAGAAATTAAATCGCATATGTCGCTTGTGGGAATAATGCCTTGTTTGTTTCACTGCACACCCGGTTGTTTGCCTCCTGTCTCGCGAGGACGTGACTTATTCATAGAAAACCGACATTGTGGAGGCCGGCCATTGACCCAAGGAACCCAAAATATTTCCGACCAATCGGAAAATGAGTTTGAGATACCATCTACGCCTGGCTTTCCAACTGTAGCTCGTCACAGCCTTACAACTTCGAACACTGATGAAAACGATGAGGTCATGTGACCCCCGCAAGTGTAATGGGGGTAAATGCTGTTCATTATCGAGATATTTTTGTTTAATAACTATTGTTCCAGGAAATACGTGTATATATTTATGAGTCATGATCATCACAATACGTCGATATTTAGCAAAATAGGAAATACAATTATTTTGGATCTTATTATTTATGTTGACTTTTACTCAGGAAATCCTCAACGAGTCTCGTGGCTATTTTTTCAGGAGGGTCCTGCCAAGTATTTGCAGTGGGGCAAGGTGGGGGGCAATGATTGCTTTGTATCATTCAAAATTGAGTAATTTTGTGGGCCCATTTTTCAACTGTGGCAGATGTGGACCATGATGCTGGGACAGTGTCCTACTCTTGTAAATTATCAAATGAAAAAACATTTTTATTTATTTCAGCAGGTAAGGCCCCGCATCTTCAGAAGCAACCTGGCCACAAATGAAAGCTCAACGAAGTGGCTTATATGGAAATTGACAGCAACCAAATGCTGTAAACGCATGTTTCTAAATATTTGGAGGGAAAACCTGGAGAAGCCAGAGAAAAATCCACACGACCCCAGGGAGAACGCACAAACTTAAAAATGTACAGGCATCGTCAGGGTCTGAATTGAACCCACGGACCTACTGCATACCAGGTGGGGGAGTTACCATCTTGCCACGTGGATCGTTAATATCCACTGTGAAACAGACGGAGTGAAGTATTTCTGTGGTTATGACACCTGCAGCGATAACCAGGGCGGCTGCTGAATGCAAACCGTGAACATCTGCAACAGGTGAGGAGTGAGCTACCTATGCTGGGCCCCATCACCGCCCCGTACCCCTGCGGTCACCAAAGTGAATGTAAATGTAGTAGTGAAAGCGCAATGCTGGGCATTGATTGAATCTCCGGCCGTCAGTGTTTACTCCGTGTGTGTGTGCTCGTGGGTGATGCAGGCTTTGCAGGGCTGGTATGCGAGCTGAACGTTAACGAGTGCCAGCCTGACCCGTGCCACCACGGCAAGTGCGTGGATGGCATCGCCAGCTTCTACTGCGTGTGCAGCCCCGGCTACACCGGCTTCCTATGCGACTCCCAGCTCAATGAATGCCAGAGCAGCCCCTGCCAGAACGGGGGCAAGTGCGTGGATCTGGTGAACCGCTACCACTGCCAGTGCCCCGAGGGCACTGAAGGTAAACTATCTCTCCTCCCACCTTCACACCACTTGGCTCGCGACGTCACGTGTTTTAGCAGACCAGTACCACTCTAGCCCGGCACTTGGGTAGGCTGTGATGTGGATGGGGGGGGAGCCTGGGGGTATATCGGACTGGCTGTGCAGTACCCAAAGTGCCTGGAACGGGCCGGTTATACGACGGAGCAAGTGTACTGCCGGCAGTGAACGTGGGCTGCTGCAGGCCGACTTGGGTCACGCCACCACTGCTGCTGCCTACATTTCGACCAATGGCAACAACAAGAACAACAAAAGTCCACTCTCGATAATGCGCTAAATGTATCCTCCCTCTAAAACAGACGCACGTTGAGGTGTCATGCAGAGTGCGTACGAGTTGATTGACGAACGTAATTCATACGGATGTCGCATCTTGGATTTTTTCCGTCACGAGATAGTGTGTGCCCGTTTAACAGATCGCGGCATGGAATCTCAGTTTCCAACCAGTTGCAAGTTGAGTTTTTATTTTTTTGTCCACCCATTGCCCCGGCAGGTGTGAACTGTGAGACGAACTTTGACGACTGCGCAGGAGATCCGTGCCAGCGTGGGAAGTGCGTGGATGGCGTCAACGAGTACCGGTGCCTTTGCGACGCTGGCTACACTGGTAAGCCTGGCAAGTGGCGTTACAGTGTGCGAGTGCGCGCCGTGTTCTCTGTTGCCCTCACCGTGATGCTGAGTATGCCCAGGGAAAGGCTCGCCGAGTCTCACGACCATATGAGGGTCCTGCCAGGTTTTGGCAGTAGGGTGACGCGCGCTCGCGAGGCCGTGACGCGCGCTCGTGTGTGAGCCCGTGACAAAGGCTGTGGCATTCCACAGGCCTGCAATGTGACGTCGAGCTGAACGAGTGCGAGTCGTCTCCGTGCCACAACGACGGCTCGTGCAAGGACCTCGTCGACGCGTTTGAGTGCGTGTGCCTGCCGGGGTTCCACGGGCCGCTGTGCTACTCAGAGACTGATGCCTGCTATGCCAGCCCCTGTCTGCATGGAACCTGCCTCGACCATGGGGAATCGTACGCACGCACGCACCCACGCACCCACGCATGCACACCCACGCACTGGCCATCACACGCAAAGATCCCCCGGTCTAGCTTTTCACAGGCTGTTGGGAAAGTGCTGTAGCGAGCACCAATGGAGGAACACAATGGAGTGGGTGGCCAGCACCACACACTTGCCCCAATAGTCTATAAAAGCTATACGAGGGATCGTTGTTTTTGTATATTCCAATGGAGATGCGTTACCGACAGCGCTATAAGAAACAGCGCGATAGGAGGTCACTATAACGTGGTTCCAATGGAGATGCATTACCAACAGTGCTATTTTTTTTACCTATGAGCAATATATGAGGGCTTCATTGGGTTATTGGTAATGGCCTTAATAATGATACTGTACACATAATAAACGTATTAAAGCAATTTATAAACAGAATTATACATTTCAATGATAATGACAAAATACAATAAGTTATGTACTCGCCAGTGCATTCGGTTGGAGCTTGCCTAAGATTAACCACCGTTTGCCATAAACACACATTCCGCGGGATGCCTTACTAACCAATGGGATTACTCTATCCATGAATCGTCAATGAATTGATACAGTGATTAACCCTCGATGAATCAATACTCTTACATGGCTGTCGGATCGACTGTGAGCAAAATCGATACAATAGACACCTCGATTCAGGATCCACAAGACCATGTATGGTATGAGACACGCCCTTACGGGCGACGTCATGCCTATTCTCTAACACGTATCGGCTGATCTGCGTCGGGATTTACGTGGCATTACGCATTTGCTATGCATGTGTCAATCTCGGAGACATTTTCCAGTCAAGAGCCGTTACCACATGTTCGCACGTATGTTGAACTTCTTTTGCACCGTACGTAGCCGACTGCACTAGTCAGAGGTGTGGGGGAAGGACAACAAACTATACACAACAACAAGCAGTTCTAAAGAAATTAGTTCGTAAATCTAGATGATGATTTAAAAGTTCGTAGCTCCCAGTGGCTTCCTAATATCAGAAAGGAAGAGCATTTCAGACGGCCGCAGAAGCACATTTGAAAAGCGCCGCGCGATGATGCAGTGACTGGGGTGGGGGAGAGGGGAGCGGCGCTTTGTCGGCGTCACTCACGGCCAGCATGCTCCGTGTCTTGCCACAGCTATCGGTGCGCCTGCGAAGCGGGCTGGACAGGGCCGCTCTGCGAGGTGGACATCGACGAGTGCGAGTCGTCACCGTGCCAGAACGGAGGCGCCTGCCAGGAGCACCTCGACGGCTACACGTGCCGGTGCCGCGACGGCTTCAAAGGTATGCGCCCGCCGGGCTGCGCCTCTCGGCATTTGGCGATTGGTGCCCGGCAATCGCACGGCTTCGGCGCGTTTGCGAGTGGACGCGTGAGCGTGCGTCCGTGGCGCTGTCCCGGTAATTCGTGAGCACGTTAATTCCCTTTTTCCTGCTGAAGTCATGCCTTCCCAGCAGGCCGATGGGTTATGTGAGAAATAGTCTTATGGGTTTTTTTTTGCAGCTAGACAGACGCAGGGAATGAGGTGTATTGTTTCCTCGAGGGTCACTGGTCATCGTCTAAATTGACACTAATTATAAAAGTGAATCGTGCTGTTAGGGTATTCACAGAGATTGACATGGGAACATGAAAGTGCCACTGGGGAAGTGCCGCTATTGGTCATGCGGAAGCTCATGCTCACTACCGTTTCCCCTCTGCGGAGACTTCATACCTGGGCACGCCGATGCCCCCGAGTCGCCTGTGAATGTGGACTGTGCTCGCGTGAGCAGTGTCCCCCGCCCCCCCCAGGGGGCTGTGTGTGTGCGGGAACACTCGCCCTGAGCGTGAACTGACACCGGAAACCATCCCCTTCCCTTGCTGGTGCGCAGGCCCTACCTGCCAGAAGAATGTGAACGAGTGCGTCTCCAACCCGTGCCTGAACCGGGGCACATGCGTGGACGGGGTGGCCGGCTACACATGCCTCTGCACGCTGCCGTTCACCGGCAAGTAACCAGGCGTGCCGCCCCCGCTCGACCCGCTGGGGCCAGCGCCTCCACCGCCTGTCGGCTGAGAGCGCCTCGTCCGTGGCTATAATGTGCAGATCCTCGAACCGCGTTCCCATTCGGAGCTGAATGGCTGATTTTACCTGGTGATGTTACCCGGTGATGTTACCCGGTGATGTTACCCAGTGATGTAACCCGGTCACGGTGGTGGGGGTGTGGGGCTCGTTTGTTTTCCCATGAACCATGGCCTCCAATAGTGACGGTCTCCCTCCCTGGGGGGGGGGGAGTAGGGCTGCTTGTGATCCCCTGATGTCGGCCAATCACGTGCAAGCACCCACAGTGCACTGCGCGGCCTGCTTACTGCTGCCATTCCCTTATCAAAACATTCCCCCAGCTGGATTGTAGTGATGGCTATGCACGCCTCTGAGCTGGCACTTTTGGCGGCAACGAGGGTTGGTGGATCACACGAACATTGTTGTTATCCTTCATTACGATGATAATAATAGTAAATTGTGCGTGAGAGGGCGTTTTTACACCCGGACGACTCGGAGGCCATGCCATGGTGTGGTGCCCGTGCCTTGCAGGGGCAACGCTCGCGTCTGTTGTGCTCCCTCGCAGGGTTCGCTGTGCGGTCTGGCTGCTCCACGGAAGTGAGGGAGATGGAGCCACGCTCACTAGGAATGAGTTCCCAGTCATGACCCAGGGTTTGACTGCAGGGCAACGGTTATTCTCGCTTGGTTGTGGATGCTATGTTTGTTCTCCGGAATGGCTCGAGTCATGTCAACAAAAACCCAGAATAGTCAGTAATCAAAGATGCGTACTCCCCTAATGTTGTAGTGGTTTGCCGTCTGACGCAGTATTAATTGGACGTTGTAGGAAACATAGCTGTAAATAACCAAGTGTCGTCGTGTCACGCAGCGTGAGTGTCTGTGCCGCCTGCAGTCCACCAGATTGTTGATCATATTTGTCGCTCTGAGCAGGGAGCTCTAATGGCTGTTTGACTGCAGACCCTAAGGATGATTTGGTAGCTCAGACGCCTGGAGACAAACACTTTGTCGTGACTTTTGCTGTGAATTAAGGGCCATTCCAGCATCCGCTTGTGTTAGTGAGCCATGTTACACATGTGCTGATGTTTGTGTGTGTTGCATTGTACGTGTGTGTACATATATATCAGGCAGTAGGTGAGCGGTAGTGTAGTGCTTAGCGCGCTGCGCTATGAACTCGGTCACCCGAGTTCAATTCCCGCTCGCAGTCAACAGTAGTGACGATTATTTGAACCAGTCATGGGCCTCCCCTAGGTTGACTCAAGCTCAAATGAGTATCTGATGTGGTGTGTAAACAACACCACTGGGGGACAAAAGGCAGCTGGGCGTGGTGTTGGCCACCCACCTCCTTATGTGCCATGCCAGCCTTCATACGTGCTCGCTAACAGCATTTTCCCCAACAGTCTGTTCAGGCTGTACGGGGGTGTTTAGCTTTGTTTGGTTTTTATTAGGCGATAGGGCGACAGCGCATTGGTAACACTTGTGCTTCGCAGAAAGAAAAACTTGGGTTCCATTCCTGACTCAGCCTCATTTTTACATGGAGTTTTATGTTCTCCCCCATTTTCTGCGGTTTCCTGCCATCGCTTAACAAAATAAAAGCCACGCCATGTAACCGGCATTGGCCCAAACATCCCAATAGTGAAAATTTTACACTGCAAATTACTCAACTGGGATTTGCACACAGCGGCAACATTGCCGCCCCCCCTACTGTGAAAACGTGGCAGGACCCTCGTGAAAGGGAGCCTTGAGACTCGGCGAGGCTGCTCTGGGCGAACGAGCACCATGTTGACCATGTGGCTGATGCTGTGTGCCCCAGGCCGTAACTGTGAGGCGGTGATGGCCCCGTGCGCCTCCCAGCCGTGCCACAACGCGGCCACCTGCAAGGAGTCGGTGAACTTGTCCTCCTTCTCCTGCGCATGTCCTCCGGGCTGGCGTGGTAAGATGCACCATCCATGGTCCCCACGGACACCACAACCTCCACATCCTCCATAACCTCCACATCCTCCATGACCTCCACAGACATCACGACCTTCATGATTTCCACAGACACCATCAGCTCCACATCCTCCATAACCTCCACATCCTCCATGACCACCACAGACACAACGACCTACTTGACCTCCACTGACCTCCACAGACACCACGACCTCCACAACCTCCACAACTCCCACCCCACCTGCAGTTCTCAAAACGTGGATCCTGGTCGACCTCTGCGAGCACCCCATCTGGGGCGCTTGGCGAGACTCAGGCTCGCGTGCTCCTCCTGTTGTGTGTATGTGGGCGAGCATGTACGTGTGTGTGCAAGCGTGTACATGTATGAGCATGTACGTGTGCCAGCGTGTATGTGTGTGTGTTGAACTTTCGCATCGTACGTAGCCAACCATGCTAATCGGAGGTGCAGGGGAAAGAAAAGCTGAACCCTGTTGATGGTTCAGCTTGGAACGTGTCGCTGCCAGACGCCGCGCGGGATGCCTGACAATGGCTCCGTCTCTCTGCTTGGTTGGGCATTGAGACGAAGCTGTTAACCAGCATCTAGGTTGTAAATCTAGAGCACAGCGATGATCTCTACCACCCGTGCCCTTGAGAAATGCTCACAGCAGACACAAATTTACACCCACTCGCACAGAGACGCACCGACTCGCACCGAGACCCACAGACTGGAGATGATGGTTGGGTTTTCACAACTCTGCCAGTCCCCCAAGCTGCCCGCCATATAGCTCGGTCTTTCCACTGTGGGGCTTCTCGCTTCGCGGGCTACGCGGAGCGTGAAGGCCAGCGTCGCGCCAGCTGGCGCTGCGCACGACAGAGGAGCGACCCCACGTGGAGGAGGCCGCTCTGCTCCGAGTGAAACTGACGTTTGTGACGGCTCTGACACCGGCCGCGTGCAGGTGCCACCTGCTCGCTGGACATCGACGAGTGCGCCGGCGTGCCGTGCCAGCACGGGGGGGCTTGCATGAACACGCAGGGTGGATTCCGGTGCTCCTGCCGCCCCGGCTACACAGGCCCCACGTGCCAGACGGACATCGACGACTGCAGCCCGAGTGAGTTGCGCGAGTAGACCGATATGTGAAGGAGGCCATAATAACATTCCGCTTATTTAACACAAAGTGTTCGAGTGCCGCTGGCGTTGTTTCTTGAACTAGCGTGGGGCGGTGGTTGGTGCCCCGTGAGGGGGACGGAGCCGTGAACTTCCATCTCGTCCCCCGCAGATCCGTGCCAGAATGGGGGCTCATGCACTGACAGCATCGGCGCCTTCAGCTGCAAGTGCCGCCCCGGATTCCGTGGGTCGCGCTGCGAGACGGAGGTGAACGAGTGTGCCAGCAACCCCTGCCGCAACGGAGGCTCGTGCGCCGACTATGTCAACAGCTATACGTGCCGCTGCCGGCCCGGCTTCAACGGCATCCATTGCGAGCACGACATCACCGAGTGCACCGACAGGTGAACCGCACACCAGCCCTCTTAACTAACAGTGTGGTGCAGTGGTAACGCTCGTGCCGTGCAGCAGTTCCTTACTAGCGTGATGGCGTGCGATGCACCGGCGTGTTGGCTCGTACGCATGCGCTGCGGAGGGGGAGGGTGATCGGCGTTGTGTCTGTATGTAGCTCGTGCCTAAACGGCGGCTCGTGCGTGGACGGCATCAACGCGTACACGTGCCTGTGCCGCGGCGGCTTCACGGGAAGCTACTGCCAGTTCGACATCGACGAGTGCGAGTCCCAGCCCTGCCAGCACGGAGGCACCTGCCTGGACGGCCTGGGCACCTACAAGTGCACGTGCCCGCGCGGGTACACTGGAGGGAACTGCCAGGTACCGTTGGTGCGCCGGCGCGGCCTGCGTGGTTCGATCGCGCCACCCTCGCCGCCTGTTCAATTTCTGTCACGGTTCCTGAGCGCGCAGGCCTCGTTTTGAATTTACAGCAAGACCGTCTCTTCTTGAATTTAAAACGCACCGATAAAATGCTCAACATGGCGGCGTGCATTGGATTGCGTCTACATCGCTGTTGCTTTCGTTGTCTGTGGAAAAGGTGGTGTAGGCAGGCCTGTAACCCCCTGCGCTCTGGGGATGGTGCTTCTTTCATCATGGAGATTTATAATTTAATACAGTTGCTGAGCAGAGGCCTAAATAGCCCAATATACATCACATGCCAGCAACACACCAATACACAGTCCTATCAGAGTCATCGCAGCATTAAGCCCAGGCCCAAAGGCCCAATACGTCAAGCGACCGGCAACAAACAGCACTGTGACTGTTGTATCACCTCAAGAGTTAACACATTTCTTGAATTGAGCGAGGTTATTTTTAGTGTAAAAACTTGGGGGGGGGGGGGGGGAGGGGGTAAAGACGGTGTTGGGAGGGAATTTTCAAAGTGCGACAGTGCAAGGGAAGAAACGGAAAGGGAAGCGTTGTGACCTGCAGTGTGGTGAGTGGGTGAGTTGAGTGGGTATGTATGTCTAGGGTGCAGTAGTGTAGCGGTATGCACGCTGTGCTACGAACCCAGTGACCCGAGTTCGATTCCCACTCATGGCCAACACCAGTGACGATTATCTGAGCCGGTTTTGGGCCTTCTCTAGGTTGACTCAGCCTCAAATGAGTATCTGGTATGATGTGTAAACATCGCCACTCGAGAGACAAAGGCTGCTGGGAATGGTGCTGGTCACCCACCCCCTCGTGTGCCGTGCCGGCCTTCATAGGTGCTCGCTAACAGCACTTGCCCCAACAGTCTGTTAAGGCTATACAGGGGATTTTTCTCTTTGTTTTATGTATGTATGTTGAACTTCTTTCGCTGGGTTAGTGGGTGGCTGGGTGGGTTGGTGCAGGCTTACTATGATGATCGGTTTGTTGGCAATAGCTGGAGCTGTGCTTGTGGCTGTCGCTCCGCTGCTCACAGGCGCTCGTGGACTGGTGCTCCTCGTCACCCTGCAAGAACAGTGGGTCCTGTGTGCAGTCGCGCACGTCATACCGCTGCGATTGCCACAGTGGCTGGACTGGCCTCTACTGCGACATCCCCAATATGAGCTGCGATACGGCTGCCAGAAACAAAGGTACTAGCTGCAACAGCAGCAGAAGCAGTGCTGTGCCGCATCACGTCGAATCGAAGAAAATTGTTAACATTCACTTTTAACACAACAAACAGAAATATAATTTACGCAGCAGGGTGGTACCCGTGGGTGACACTCTTGTGCCTCACACCAGGAATGTCTGGGTTCGATTCCTGACTCCGGGTGCCTTTCTGTGTGGAGTTTGTCTGTTCTCTCACCGTTCTGTAAGGGTTTTCTTCCAGGTTCTTTGCTTTACTCCTGTAATAAAGGACTCTCTCTCAGATGTCGATCTCCGATGTCCTTTATTGGGTTCGTAGAATCTCGATACCACGGCGTCTCGCTCAGGCCCGCGTCTCCGTCTGACACCGATGGCTGATGGTGTCGACGTCTCCCACCGCGTGGCGACCGTGCCACTCTCTCCGTCTTGCCCAGCGTGGCCTCCTCATGTTTCACTCCGTCTCAACTCCCCCTTCCCCTTCCGGTTCTCTCCCTAAATCTTCTCACCCACGTGACCCTAACTCCACCCACTCCCCACGTGACCCAGACTCCGCCCCCCCTCAATCCTTGCTCGCATTACACGACCCCCCCCCCTAATGAAAACCCAGCCATCCTCGGCTGCAATAATTACAATAAAATAATGCGAGCAATATTGGAACCATCTGGCATCACTGGACAACGGAGAATATAAGAATGATAACAAGAACAACAAGAACAATAACAATCAACGAAAGGAAAGGGATTTGGAACGCGTGCGGGTCGCCGGCCCGTCCCGAACGGGCGGCGGTCCCCCCACAGACCGAGAACGCGACGGGGTCTTAAGATCGACGGGAGTAGAACCGCCCGCCGCTGTTGGAGGCCCGTCAACAGCAAGGTCCCGTTCCCCAGGGAGACCAAGTCCGGGGTCTCTGGCAACCGTGTCTGTGGTGGGGTTGGAGGGGCAGCGGGGTCAAGTGGCCCCGTTACCGTGGTAGGTCCACCCAGAGCAGGATTCGCCACATCCACCTGCGTCACGGCTGGTTCGTCTGTAGAAGGCACGACAGGCGCGCTTGCAGAGTCAACAGGTAAGGGCAGAGGTGCATCGGGCGCAACACACACCGGCAAGGCAACATCAGGGGATGACGCATCCGTCCGCGGGGCCACGTAGGGCTTCAATCAAGACGTATGAACGTACCAGTGCCGCGATCCGAACCGAACCCGTGCGGATTGCGGGTTAGGGACTTCAATAAGCTTAACCGGCCCCTGCCATGGTTTGTGAAGCTTAGGGGAGGTTCCCGGCCGCACTTGCGGGCAGTGCAGCCATGCCATGTCCCCTACTCGCCAGGGGCATGTACCGGTCGAGCGCCGGGCGCAACGCTCGTTTCGCGCCTGCGTCTTGGCAGTAGCCAATCGGGCCCCCTCCCGTGCTTCGGCGACGCGTCGAACAGTGTCCTGAATATATTCGGGGAGAGGTTTAACAGGACCCTTCGCCCCCGTATCCAGCTGTACTTCCACCGGCGGCACATTCTCGCGGCCGTACATTAGAAAAAATGGAGAATACCCAGTGGACGCATGAGGCGTCATCCGATACGCGGAGAGTACTCCAGGTATATGCAAGTCCCAATCAGCTTGTTTTTCGTCAACCGTGTGACACAGCATGGCCGACAGCGTCCGATTAAGGCGTTCCACCATGCCATCCGTCTGCGGGTGGTAGGGAGACGTACAGACCTTCTTGGTTCCCAACGCAGCGCACACCTCCGCCAACAATTTGGAAGAAAAATTCCGCCCCTGATCCATGAGCAGCCTCTCCGGCGCCCCCTTGTCTATCACATATCCAAATAGGAAGGCGTCTGTGATAGATGCCGCCGACTGGTCGGGTAAAGGCCAAGCCATCGGCCAGCGGGAAAGATATTCCACCCCGACCAGCAAATATTTATTACCCCTAGCGGATGGCGGGAAAGGTCCCAAAATATCCAGCGCCACCAACTCGTTGATTCGAGACACTTGTATAGACTGCACCGGCGGCACGTAAGGGTTTTTAGGCGGCTTCCGCCGGGCACACTCGGGACACGCCCGAATGTGTTCGACGACATCCGTCGTCATGCCGTGCCAGAAGTAGTCTCGCTGCAATGTTAACAAAGTCTTCTGCACCCCGAGATGTAATAAAGTGTCGCCGTGCGTAGTCCGAATCAATTCGTACCGTAGCGACGACGGTACTACCAGACGCCAGCGGTCATGCAGTCCCTCTCTCCACATGAGCAAACCATCCCGGAGAGCGGCCCCCAGCATCCCACCGGACAGCAATCTCCCCGCTCCTTTCGCAGCCCAACTCCGTAAAGCCCCCAACGAGTCGTCAAGCAATTGTTCGCGAATCCATACTGAGCGCGGCAGGTTCAGAACCCCATCGGCCGGTCCTGGGCACACCGGAGCCCCAGACACCTCGACAGCTGACACGACAGGCCGAGGGGGTAGCTGAACTGGCGTACACCTATTCTTATCCGACGCGCAAACGCAAGGGGACCCCTGCGGTAATCTGGAGAGTGCGTCCGCATTCGCGTGACGCGACCCCTTCCGATATTGTATGTCGAAGGAAAATTCCTGCAGGGTCTCCAACCAGTTGGCCAGATGGTTGGTCAACCCTCAGGGAATATTGCAGAGCCGCATGGTCCGTGCGCACAATAAATGACCGGCCGTAAAGATACGGCCGATATTAGCGGAGAAAATAGACAATAGCCAATAATTTGCGGCGAGTAACGCAGTAGCGGGTTTCTGCCGGGGACAGTACACGGCTACCGTAGGCTACCACGCGTTCTACGCCGCCCTTGGACTGTGACAGAACGGCCCCAATCCCAGTGTCACTAGCGTCCGTATCCAGAATAAAAGGTCGATCAAAATCCGGATGGTCCAATGTCGGCGCTGTCGCCAACCGATCGCGTAGGCCCTGAAACGCCGCTTCCTCCGGCGGACCCCAACTGAACCTCCGACCCTTACCCGTAAGGAGGTGCAAGGGCCTAGCGATCATAGCAAAGTTCGGGACGAACCTGCGATAGTATGAGGTGAACCCCAGGAAGCGACGTACGTCCCCAACCGAGGCCGGGGTTGGCCAGTTGCGGACGCACGCCGTCTTCTCCGGGTCCGTGGCCACCCCGTCCGCACTGACTGTGTCCCAAATAACGCACGGATCGTTGCAGTAGGTGACACTTTTTCGGTTTGAATTTTTAATTTGCGGAGCGCATCCTAGCAAAAACCGTCTCCAATCTCTGCAAATGTTCGTCAAATGTGCGGCTAAAGACAATGACATCGTCTAAATAAATCAAACATGTCTCCCACTGCAGACCCGTTAACACCAGCTCCATCAACCGCTGAAAAGTGGCGGGAGCTGCATTCAAGCCCATCGGAAGGCAATTAAACTGAAACATTCCCTGCGGCGTACGAAAAGCCGTCTTTTCCCTCGAGGACTCGTCAAGGGGAAGCTGCCAAACCGAATCGGAGCGGCATCCCCCGTATCACTGTGGTGGGAAAGCAGGGAGGTGCGTCCCAAGTCAAAATCATCCGAGCTGAACACGTCGGAATAACTTAGCAACAGCGCGCGAAGCGCGGACCGTTGCTCTGTCAGGGATGAATTCTCCCCGCATAACTCGGCAACCCAACGGTCATCCTGCCCCGTTGGCCCCGAAACCCCCCCTACCATGTCCCGGCGGACCCGGTTGTCATGGGTCGTGAACGCGGTCGTGGCGTGAGCCACAACCGTTCCGGCCGGGACACTGACATTCTCTGCACTCCCATTTAGCACCTGTAAGAACGGGGGCTGGCCCGGCCGGACAATTGTTTGTGCCCCAACCAGCGCCGAGCCGCCCGTTATAGCTGTGGACGGCGATAACAGAACCCCCGCCGCTCCCTCAACGCCAGGTACTGGCTTCCGATTTCTCAACGGGATAAGCATCTGCGAACCAGGTGGAATGTCAACAGATACCTCGGACAGCGCCTGCACCTGGCAAACAGGGGCAGGCCGGCCCCATGGCGACGGTAGGAACGAAATTTTCCGCCCCCCTGGTAATTCAATGTAGTTTTGATCAATCCTTATTTGAATTGGCATTTTTGCCAGGAAATCAGTCCCCAACAAACAGGGTACCGCGAGGGACCTAGAGATCAACACGGTCCCTGAAGCTGACACCCCCCCAATGGATATGTTGGCGTCCACCTGGCCCACAATGCCCATACTTCCCCCGTTCGCCGCTATGCATGAATCATAAACCGCTCGCACTCTCCCTGGCGGAATGCCTAAAAGATGGAAAATGACATCCGAAATAATGGTCGCGGACGCACCGGAGTCCACCAAAATACGCACCTCGACCCCCTGAATAGAACCCGGTACCGTGGACGACCCCTACTACCCTCCATGCCAGTCGGCGCCATTGCGTCAGCGAGCGACACGGGTCAATCGGAGGCACCTTGTTGTTAACGACACACGGACCGCGCGGCGATGGTGATGCATGAGGTGACTTGCCTTGCCGGGTGTCTGGTGCGCACCGACTTGCCTGTCTTGGTGGGTCTTTTCGCGCGACGTCCGTGGTCGAGGCCTCCTGCTGGGGCGGCCCCGGGATGCGAGCCCAACAGTCCCTGGCGAAGTGGCCCTTACGGCCGCAGCGGAAACACTCCACGTCGTTCCGACGCGCGGCACCCCCCCTGTCCCGACGCTCCCGCGCTGGCGGCCCGGACCTCGGCCCCGTCCCCCCCCAAGCAGGCCACTGGGCGGAGGCGGCCGTCAACTCCTGCGGACCCTTGTCGTCAGGAACGTAGATCGCCTTCGTAGGATCCCACCCCGTAGCACCGCCTTCAACGATGGGCCCCCCCGTCCAAGCTGACACCTGCTTCCAGCGTCGGAGATTAAATTGAGCGTCCAAGCACTTAGCCACAGCACGGGACGTCAATTTATCATGGCTGCACACCGGCATGGGGATCCCCAGGTCTCTAGATAATTCGAGCATCTTGCCCAACACGAGGGGCTCCAACAAATCGGGCTCCGT